AGGACAGAATGAACATCCAACAGTCGGAAGATGCGTAGTTTCAGCTCCAGTGGAAGAACAACCAGCCCAAACACATCTGGAAGGTTCAGGACTAGATGGGAAAAGCAGCACAGGAGTTACTGAGTACAGAAGAACATCACCAAAAGCTGTCACCACTTCTCTCTGAAGAGGTGACAGGTCTTGACTATCAGCTTTCTCTGTAACTGTACTTCCAGCACTGTCTTCTGAGAGCCAGCACGTGGCTGGGCTCAGACACAGACGCTCCTGATGCAGGTCACTCCAGGTCACTCTGCCAAAGCAAACCCACACGCACATGACTAGAAGGAAGTGCCCCACTAGGACACAAAGGAGAGAAAGTGACTTATAAAAGATCTGAAAAATATAAAGCTTGCTGAATAACAATTTCATCATCCAAAAAATATCCTTACTAAGATCGACTTCACAGTTACTAATATTCAACATCACCAATGTAAAAATATCTAGTGCCCGATAAATGTTGCTTCCAAACCATGCAAACAGTAAAGCTGGAGAGAAGGCTTAGCAGTTAAGACCACTTCCTGCTGCTCTTGCAGAGCATCTAGCTTTGCTTCCCTGCACCATAAGGTGGATCTCCACCATCTGAACTCCATTTTCAGGGGTTCCAACTGCCCTCTTCTGGTCTCTGCCAGCACTGCAAGCACACACGGAACACACATACCTGCAAATTACTCATAAACATAAGTGTGTGGGTTAGTTCTTTTTTTTTAAGATGCATTTTTTAAAAAATGTGAGCCAGTTATGGCTTAGCAAATAAAGGTGCCTGTCATTAAGGGTGACCTGCCCTCAATTCCCTGGGATCATATAATGCAAAAAAAGAACCAATTCTTGCAAGTTGTCCTCTGACCTCCACACATGTCCTGCATAGTGTCTCAAATGCACATGTGAACACATGTTCACATACATACATACATATACACACACATACATACATACATACACACACACACAAAATAAGTAAATGTAATTTAAAATTTTAAGGAAAACCATTCATTGTATATGCTATATATACTTTTATTTACTGATCTGGCCTATTATGGACCAGAAAATGAGAATACAAAACTGATTAAGACACATTCCTTACCTTCAAGTCACAACCTGTCAACCACTAAGGTACAGTGCAAACACTGTCATGGAAACCAGGTGTGACAGGGAAGCTGAGCCAGGAGGATCACAAATTCAAGGCAACGCCTGGACTACATAACAAGTCAGATGCCTCCCTGGGCTACACAGTGAGATGAACTGTCTCAGCAGAAACAATGAAAAAAGGTTCTGGGTAAATGAACAAGGAAAAAGTGGGTAATGCTTAAGGAAGCATACTGCAGTGATTTAAAGCAGAATTTCAGTAGGACAGATAAAGACAAGTCAGACCTCAGAGTTAGTGAAAACCCTGAGCTCTGGCCACTCTCTCAGTCATTCAACAGTAACAATTTACCCTATCTCCTCACCTTGTCGTGTGAAAGCCAGAAGAGGGTACACCAGCTGGTCTTTGAAGAGACGAGAGAGCTTCTTAAGATCTTTGTACACTTTGGCTGCACTTTCCCCTAGAGTGTTTTTACAAAGTAGAAGTCAAAACCAAATAGAAAAACCTAGAGTGGCATCTGTCTTCCAGTTCTGCCAATCAAAATCCAAGTGTTAAATACTCATGAGTAACTCCTACACAGGAAGGGAAATCGAAATCCTTAAAAGAGGAGGTGCAGCACATGACTAACAAAAGTCAGGTGCAAAAATTAATGTCAAACTAATAGGAAATGAACAAAATACAGCTTAGAGGCTGCAGAGAAAAGCCTGAGGGGTCTGTACACACTAGCAAGATTTACCAACTAGCTAACAGTCTGTTCTGAGCACTAGGCAGTGTATAAATGCTCGAATGCAGCATAAAGCCCAAGAAAGGGACAGTACTTATCACGCAACAAACATGCATCAAAACATCGCTGAGTAGCTCCCCAGCTTTCTCCCATCGGCAACCTCCTCCTTGAGAAGCCGAAGGAGAAAGATACCCTTTCTAAAAACATGGTAGAGAGCCTACCCTCAGTCCCAGGAGTGATGAGGCTGGAAGGGTACAAACCTAACTGTGCCTGATCCGAAATACTCATTTTTCTAAGTATCCACAATCACAAAATAGCCATCTGTGCTGGTTTATGCCAACTGAACATAAGCTACAGTAATTTTAGAAAAAGAAACCCCAACTGAGAAAATGCCCCCTTCAGACCACCCTGTGATGTATTTTCTTGATTTCCATGGGACCCAGATCACTATGGGTGGTGTCACTCCTGGGGCTGAATGAACAAACTATGGAACAAGCAAGTAAGCAGCATTCTTCTATGGGTTCTGCTTCAACTCTTGCTTCCAGGTTACAGCCTTTAGTCCCTACCCTCAGTTCCCTGGATGATGGATTACAAGCTGTAAAATGAAATGAACAGTGAGTAAGGTATGTCTCCACCAAAGCCCAGCTACCCTACCACAACAGGACATGATTATTCCAACATAGCTGAAGCACGAGAAAATGACCTTAAAACCAACTATTGGGTGATGATAGAGGTCCTTTAAGACAAAATTAATAAATCCTTTAAACAAATTCAAGAGAAAACAAACAACTGGAGGAAATAAATAATTTCCTTAAGGAAATCCTTAAGAAAATACAGACAGTAGAAGAAAAGGAGTAAAACTGTTCAAGACTAGAAAGAAGAATCAGAAGCAACACAGAACATAAAATGAGAGAATTCTGGAAATGAAAAATTTAGGAATGCTAACAGAAACTGCAGATGCAAGCATAACCAACAGAATATGAGACAGACAAGAGAATCCATGGATACATCGTTCGAAGAAAATGTTTAAAAAATTCCTGAGACAAAACATTCTGGAAATCTGGAACACTATAAAAAGATGAAACCTAACAATAACAAGAATAGAGGAAGGAGAAGAATCCTAGCTCTAAGGTGCAGAAAGTAATTTCAATACAACTGTAGAAGAAAATTCCCTAACTTAAAGAAGGGTATGTCTATAAAGGTAGAAGAGTACAGAACGCCAAACAGATTGGGTCATGTGATAATGAAAACACTAAACATACTAAAGAATATTAAAAGCTACAAGGAAAAACGACCAAGTAACATACAGAGGCAGGTCTATTAGAATTATACCTGACTTCTCAATGGAGATCCTAAATGTCAGAAGGTCCTAGATAAGTATGCCTAAGAGACCAGAAATGCCAGCCCAGACTACTATACCCTGAGAAACATTCAACCACCAAAGATGGAGAAAATAAGACAATCAATGATAAAGCCAAATTTAAACAATATCTACAAATCCAACCTACAAAAGGTACTAGAAAGAAAACTTCCCCTTCTGAGAAGGTTAACTACACCCATGAAAACAGGGGAAAAAAATCTCACACCAGCAAAATCAAAGTGTGCATACGTGTGCACACACACATGTGGGCATGCATGCACACGCACGCACACACACACACATGCATACCCAATATAACCATCACCAACAACAAAAACAAAACAAAAATAACAGGAATCAATGATCATTGGTCATTATCTCCCTCAGTATCAATGGTCTCAATTTCTTCAATAAAAGGCACAGACTAATAGAATGGATGTGAAAACAAGATCTCTGATCCTGCATCCAAGAAATATACTTCAATATCAAGGAAAGATATTACCTCAGGGTTAAGGGTTGGAAAATAATATACTAAGCAAATGGGCCCAAGAAACAAGCTGGTATCGCCATTTTAATATCTAACAAAATATACTTCAAACCAAAACTAATCAAAAGAGATAGGGAAGGCCACCACATACTCATCAAAAAAAAAAAAAATCCACCAAAATGTCATTTCAGTTCTTAACATCTATGCCCAAACACAAAGGTAACCAAGATTGTAAAAAGAAACACTACTACAGCTTAAATCATATTTTGACCCTTACACACTACTGGGGGGAGACAATACCCACACTTACCAATGGACAAATTCTGCATTTTTCTGCATGTAGAAGAAGGCAAATAGATGCACATTTATCACCCTATACAAAACTCAAGTCCAAGTGGAACTCACATAAAACCAACATACTGAACCTGACAGAAAAGAAAGTGGGGAATAGCCCTGAACCCAATGGCACAGAAGAAAACTGATAGCTCACGCATTAAGATCAATAGCAGATAATGGGACTCCATGAAACTGAAAAACCTCTGTAAGGCAAAGGACACTATCAATTGGACAAAGCAGCAGTTTACAGAACGGGAAGAGATTTTTACTAACTCCACATTTGACAGAGGACTAATATCCAAGATATATAAAGAACCCAAGAAACTACATATCAGAAAACCAAATAATCTAATTTTAAAATGGGGTACAGGTACCCAGGAATTGTGATGCATACCTTTAATCCCAGCACTCAGGAGGCAGAGCCAGATGGAGCTCTGAGTTCAAAGCCAGCCTAGTCTAAAAAGTGTGTTCCAGGACAGTCAGGACTACATGACTCAACAAAAATAAATAAACAAACAAATTACACACACACAGAGAGATCTAAATCGAGGATTCTTACTAAAGGAATCTCAAATGGCTGAGAAACAAATGTTCAACATTCTTAGCCATCAGAGAAATGCACATCAAAACTACTTTTAGATTCCAACTTAGACCTGTCAGAATGGCTAAGATCAGTAACACTAGTGACAGCTCACTAGTGTGGAGCAGGAGAACATTCCTCCATTGCTAGTGGGAGTACAAACTTACACAGCCACTATGGAAATAAATATGGAAGTTCCTCAGAAAACTGAAAATCAATCTACCTCAAGATCCAACTACACCACTCTTAGGCATATACCCAAAGAATGCTCTGTCCTACCACAAAGACACTTGTTCAACGGTGTTCACTGTAGAATTTATTCATAAGAGCCAGAAACTGGAAACAACCTGGATATTCCTCTCCCAACGAACAGATAAAGAAAATGTGGTATGCGCTCACTTCAGCTGCACATAAACTAAAATTGGAATACTACAGAGATTAGCATGGCCCCTATGCAAGGATAACAAGCCAAATTTGTGAAGCATTTGTACTTTTGGAAAATTGGGAATAGTTCTAACTCAAAACTCAGCTATACCACTCCTGTGTGTAAACCCAAAAGATACCCCACCATGCTACAAGGGCACTTGCTCAATTATGTTCAGAGCAGCTTTATTCATTAATAGCCAGAAACTGGAAAACTAGATGTCCCTCAACCGGGGAATGAATAAAGAACATCTACACAATGGAACATTATTGAACTATTAAAAACAATGACATCATAGAATTTGCAGGTAAATGGATGGAACTAGAAAAGATCGTCCTGAGTGAGGTAACCCAGACCCAGAAAGACATTTTGGGAAGGACTTGCTGATAAGTGGGTATTAGCCATAAAGTACAGGATAACCATGTTACAATCTAGACACAAAGAAGCTAAATAACAAGGAGGGCCAAAGAAAGGATGCTTGAATCTCCCTGAGAAGAGGAAATTAAATAGATGTGGAAGTAGACAGAGGGAGGGATCTCGGTGAGAGAAGAGGTGAGGAGGAAAGAAGAGGTTCAAGTGTGGGCAGGATGGAGGAGGGGGAGGGAGAGGGGGAAGGGGAGGGGGGAGGGAGAGGGAGAGGGGGAGGGAGAGGAGGAGGGAGAGGGAGAGGAGGAGGGAGAGGAGGAGGGAGAGGGAGAG